TATTAAAATGTTAGGAAAATCTAGCTATCTACATACCTTTTCTTTTTTTCAGTGTTTGAAGAAGATGATAAAGAGTGAACTTGATCTTGCTCTTTTGCAAACTCAACAACTAAAGTATGACCTAAAAGTTTCAGCTGATGGAGTCTTGTCAATGCCTTCAATTGGAAGAAGAGAGTGAAAAATATGAGGATTTGGTGATTTAACAAAAAATCACTTATCAGAGGGCATATGCAAAATAATTTATACATTTCTTTGTTAATACCTGTGTTAACTTTTTTGTTGACTATTTTCACCCATCTCTACTCTTGGAATACTAAGTCTTTATTATTTAGGAAAGAACTGATCCCTAACACTCAGCAAAACCAAAACCTGCCTAAATCTGTTGGACCTTCATAATGACACAGCCAAAAATGGCTACAAAAAGATATCTGACAGAGCTGCCTGTTCTCCCCTAACTTCGTAATTATGGCCACAAATCTGAAGGCACCCCTTAGTGATGGCATACAGTGATACATTATATTTTCAGTCTATTTTCTCTACCAATCTCTAAAAGAGTATTCTGTACTCTCTAAATTTCACAGTATTCCTCTCCTATTCTTTTAACCTAAGACTTGCTGCTGACTTTGAGAAAACTGAAGCAACTAGATGAGAATTTCCCATTTCCACAACTTCCCACATACCAACACCTGGATTTCCATATTCTACCTTCCAACTGTCATGTTTCCATTTCAATCCAGTTGCTTGATTTGTATTCTAAATCCCATCCTCTCTCATCTATTCAAGGATCTCTCTTTAGATACTCTCTGAAACATTCTTACTTATATCATTAATTTTCTGCTATCTATTGGATCATCCATATCAGGACGCTTGCAATTCTCCCATTTTGAAATGGAAAATGACTTTAGAGTTATCTAAAATTTGTATCTTTTCTTTTCCCATTCAGTATCAAACCCATTTCTATTAAGCTTATGCCCCCATCCATCCACTGACATTGCTTGTCATGGTCAACAACAATGAATTCTGCTTTGCCAAGCCAATGGTCAACTCTCATTCTTCATCTTACAGCACATAACATAGTTCATTCCCTCCCTGATACATTTTCTCTATTTAGTTTCAAGACATCATACTTTCTTAATTTACTTCCTATTTCACTGGTTTCTATTCCTTAATCTCTTTTGCTACTGCCTTCTGGAACTCCTATTATTGGAACACATGAAAGCTGTGTTCTTGGTCCTTTCTAAACTCATTCTCTTGATCTAATTCAGACTTCTATATTCAAATACCATAGCTATGCTGATGATTCACCAATTTTTAACTTTAATCCAGACCTCTGTCCTTAAATCCAGACCTCTGTCCTTAAATCCAGGAGTACATATCCAGTCTACTGCATAGTTCTCAGTAGATGTCTAGAAAACATCTCAATTTCACTTCAGAAATTGGACCAGTGATCGTTTCCCC